CAGATGGCTTTAATATTTACAAATGGCAGGTATTCATCACAAATTCTGAACAGAAAGAAACCTTTCAAAAGTTAACTTACCACTCATGATGGATATGGCTGAACCGATTGCCAGATGAAAATTAGTAAGTGGTGTTTTGGGGGCTGTTCTTGGGGTCCGATTATAGATCAGTCTGTGCATTCGTACTCAGTCAACGTCCTACGCTCATATGAAAACGGGAAAGCGCAGATTTCAACAATATAAGGCGGCCGGTGTTAAAGAAAGCACTCTGATTGGTCGGGCATCTCAGAAATGGGATGGTCAAAAAAAATATTTCCTTCTGTTTGTCATTTTGTTTCTGTGTTTTGGCACAGGTACTTATTCGTAGAAACATCCCCTCAAATTAGCTGAAATAGATACAGAAAAATAAAAATGACATAAAAATGACAATAATTAGCAACAATTTTAGCACAAACAATTTTTCCTTTTAAAATAAAACATAAATTTTCATACGATTCCAGTCATTATTTAGACAATTAACACTGATAGCACAATGGATAATAAATCTTTCGATTTATTGCTCGTACATTATCAAGTACAAAACGAAAGGAATGGAATATAACAATTCATCTACCCAATACTAAAATATACGACGTGATTCAATACACAGGGAATACTTTTTTCAAACTCTTTTCATACACAACAAACAAAGATTTTTGCCCACTCAGCAGGGCACCTGTTATTTTTCAGTACGGTGTTGTAAGATCGAAGGATATTCTAAATGTAACTAGGCCGAAGGTTAACCTTGTCTCACACGAAGGGTGCAGTCTATTAATTTAAATGAGAATTTCTTGCCAGCTCATTAGCATTAAAAGTGCCCACACAGTATCTTTTGAAAACCGAGAGTTTGTATGGCCCCAAAATGGCGAGACTGTGTAAATCTTGGCCAGGATCAACTCCCCAGGTCTTTGGGCTTTCGTCTGAGTGCAGAATAAAAAAAGCAGAAACAAACACCAAAATACGGGTGAAAACTGGTCCTAATTGCCCGAGAAAGTTGAGGTTGCCACTTGAAAGTGGCTGCAAGCAGACTTCCTAAAAATCACTTTTCGGGGTGGATTTTTTTGTGGGAATAACTCAAAATATAATCGGTTAACCCACATAAAATTGAAAAGAAAGTGAAAGATTAGGGACCATACAATAATTTAACGTGCGTTTCAGAAATCTCAGGGATGTTGTGCATTCGTGTTATTGGGCCCTGAACAATGCTGATTTCACACTGTTTTCAATGGGGCTTGAATTAGTGGACTGCACCACATACAGTACTTGAGTTCCGACGGCTAGACAAGGTTGTCGTGGACAATTTGTCTGACAAGAGACAAGAGAGATTGAGAGGCAGCACGGAACGCTAGGCCCACCTACGATCGTGTAAGGCAAGGTTATCGTTAGCCAGCAAAGTATTACATTATATTTAAAAGGTTCTTTAAAGTTCTGTGCTTGTGTACGGAATTTGGAAACTTCAATGTTATTACATATATTGTGAAATATATGAGCAACAATCTTTAAACCTTCTACGACTAACATGACTGTGAATTAAGGGTTTTGTAGCATTTTCAAACTTGAACATGGTCGATTGACGGGTTCTGTGAAAAGAATTGCACTGAACTGTAACAATAGAGTCTGCATAAATACTTGTAAAAAATAACATACACTTTTATTTTTGTTCATGCACTTTGCACAGCCGAAATCACACTTTTGTTACAAAATCTCCGTTATCAACAACAGAGCAATGTGGAGTAACTCTTTGCGAAATTGGGATTTGTCAAACATAAAACACTTTCACTATTCTTAGTTTATATAAGCGGCTGGCTCACTAGTTCACCTGTAACCTCACCACATGTTTACACTTTGCTTTATTTTTTAAAGGTATTAATGAAAGGGTCACCCAAACCAGTTGTACCCATGACTGTGACTACACAAAACTGCATAACTGCTGGTTAAAGGAGAAAAAAGTGGTCACATTTTTGACGCCAAGGACATTGCAGATTTTAAAAAAAAACAACTCTAGAACCCCCTTGAACGCAATTGTACCACCTACTTCGAAGAAGTCCTCTTTTTTATAATTGTAAAACACTTAAATTGGGTGGTATTTATTCTCTTCACCTTGGGACCTTCATGCATCAATTATATAATACTATGTTACCCGAATCTATTTGTGCTATGTTTGTAAGAAACGATGAAGTTCAAGATCATTTCACTAGACTGTGTACTAAATTTCATCAATCTTTTGTTCGTACCACTGCTACTCAAAATACAGAAGGCATCAGAGACCCAACTACACTGCTGAATTCCCTTGAAGTTTCTTTAAAAGTATACAGAATATTCGTTTATTCAAAAAGAAATTTAAGGTAAAATTACTCTCTACTTATGTAGACTTTAATTCGTCTAATTCTTAACATGCCTCACAGGGTTACTGGACCCACTGTTTTGGTTTAGTTCTGTAATGTGAATGAGTATAGGTGTGCTGGCTGGTTCGAATCAGGTGTAGCAGCGGGCCGGCGCACCCGAGTAGGTTTGTGGTTTTTTTCACAAGCCTTCGTGGGCATTCACTGAGAACTTACAGCGTTGAAATACACGTCGGGCAGGGTAAAACCTCCATAAATCAGTTTGACGCCACGCCGTCAAAATCTTTCAAAGCAAATTGTGATTCTGCTGCAATTAATTAAAAATTTTCAAAGAATTTGTGTTCGACATGGCAGAATCACGACGTTTGAGGCGGCTGTAACGTTCTCATAATGTGTCACATGGTCTATCCCTTCCTCCATTCCTCAACCATGCATGCTTCAACACCAGCACCTTTGAAATACCGTAACGATTATCATTGCATGCCACGGATATCCTGCAACAATCTACACATACCACTTCATTTCTTGACAAGAATATAATATAAAACCAGTGCTCTGGAATATGTGATTGCCGAGCTTTCGGTTACTGAGTACCTTCTTCAGGGCAAGCAGATTCAGATTGAGAACTGAATCTGCTTGCCCTGAACTTGAGGTACTCGATTACCGAAAGCTCGGCAATCACATATTCCAGAGCACCATATATTATATTTTTATCAATATTCTTATCACGGTGCTACGCAGCCCTTCCATGTTCCACTTCATTTCTTGTTGATTTGACCGTGCATCAACAAGTCAGAGGTAAAACAAAATTAAACCTGCAGTGAGTTAAGTTGAATTTATTCCCGTCAGTGTGGCACTCACGGGAAAGGTTTTTTCTAGCCAACTGCAATCAGTATATTCCTTTAAGTTTCTCATGAACTACAGGTTAGATGACCTTGTGACTTCCCGCATTCAGCACTACCCGGTATTCACATCCTTTGTCCGGCGGCGCACACCAGCAAAATTATCGTGTACACGCTTTGAATAGCTGCATGATTTAATCGTAGCTATCGGAGCAAAATTTGCAAGTCCACAGGTTCAGAACAAATTCAGAAAAAAAAACAGATAGCTCCCCACAATCTTATTCGATACCTTGTTTAAGATTAAAAGGAATTTGTTTCACAACGCGGATGCCGCTTTAAATGCAGACTCAACTGGAAAAGCATTTAATAACTTTCCTGCGGCTGTTCATCCGTCACATGACTAATGCTCACCCACACACACCAACAGGTTGTGAAAAACAGCTTCCAATAATTGTGTGTGCTCCAACCAACCGTTAAGCAAGATCTTATAACAGAGACCGCCTGCCATAGTAAGTGAATTCCAAACCTTTCACATGCACAGTGGGTCAGCATTGAACAAAAAGTGTTATCAAAAGCCTTTTCTGAAGTGAAAGCTACAACTAAGCTGCAATTGAACATAGCCACAGAAGTCTCATGTACATGTACGTGTACAAATGTAATCTTATCTGCGTGTACACGTACAGTACATGTACAGTACATAGTACATGAAAACACACACATTGCAGCACTGAAAAGGCTGCAACAAGTTGTCCTCTTCGGTGTCATATAGATCGACATGTCTCGTTTGGGGGGTAACCGTGCGTGGAGGGCAGCTTCGGCAGTCCAGGTCTATTTTAGCCTGAGCTGCTTATCGCTAGCAGGAGCCTCAGCATTCCTGGCCTTGGGAATACATTTCGGACACTTCCAACTCTGGAAAGACGATGTGGAACACCGTGCATTTAGGAGAAGTGCCGACGGAGGAAATGCTGCGGGATACGTCGACCTGGCAGTCAATGGCGGTCAGTCCAAAAATCCTCTTAGTTAACCAGTGTTATATTCAGGTTTTGAGTCTTGGACCTGTAAAACCAATTATTATATCACTAACATGTATCGATATTTGATAATTTATGTTTAACAAACTATAAAGAACCATCAAGCCTATTCCCAAGATACGTGCAGGTTAAGGGTTCCCCGTCTCCTTGATCCCCATCCGACTTTACAGTGTACCTCTTCTGACACAAAGAGGCTTGAGGGGTCAGTCACCTGTAATCCTGTAAGTACAGGTTGACCAAACTACTTCCCCCTTTCTCTTACAAAATGGCCGATTGGCCAAAACCTCGCAATCGGGGTTCTGGAAAAAATGACCCGGTTAAGGTAAATCATGGCAAAAATAAAGCAATTTTTCCTGCCTTCCCCAACTACAGTGTAGCTTAACCCAAGGAACAGACCTGAGCGCAGAACGCATCAATATCTCTGAAATCGTCGTGGGACAGTTTCTTTTCCTTCAAAATCCTGGGTTTTTCCGGTAATGTCTTGCACGTACGATAATTGACACCAATTTTGTGGTAATCCAACTTTACTGAAACAAGTCAGCTTTACTTTTCATGTAAAGTTGGCGTTTCCCACCGACGTGCTCAATGCACACAGGCTGACACGCATTCACGAGGGCGCAAAGAAGGAAATGGCCGTGACAGCAAAACCCGCCATGTTGGGTTAAAATTGGGACAGGTCCAATTACCGCTTGAAGTTCGGACAGGTCCAGTCGATTAACCCTCACAGATGCCTTAATATTCGTGCCAAAGTATAAAACAAATCCTAGGGCGGATTCTGCGCCACCCCTTGGATATGAAATAGTCTGAATAAAACCATTCTATTTTATGACTATAATGCAAGATTTTCTCTCAAATTACACCTTGACTATTGTTCAATCACAGTGTACCAGCATATTTCGTTTGTTTGCTTTATTTTGTGACCCGTATGCATAAACGTAAATCGCACGTATTTCATGGTACATCTTGTGTATTCCCTAAGACTGACTGATAAACCTAGAAATAAATTGCTGGTAAATGCACATGATAACGGGCATAACTCTACGTTGATAAGTATCAAATGAACAGTTTATATAGAACTGAATGGTCGAAGCAGTCGAGAATACTCGTGTTTATGCGCTCTAATACCGTCATGTATAGCACGATTTTGCTTACTATTCGGTTGTCTTATACTAATAACAATAACTTAGTGGGAAACATTTTGAGTGTGACTCATTCCGTCTTGACTCGTGTAGGCCTACGTTTAGGGATGTTGAGACCCTCAATCTCTGTTATATGTCTACGCCCCTTGTTGTTAGGATTCCAAATTCACGTCCTCCACCACTGACAATTATGTTAAGTTATCGTGTGGTGTCAATCTATGAAATAATCTACACGTTATGCATAATAAAGATATGCCGCTTCTTTCAAGTTTCAAATGTTAGCAATTTTAGTCATGATCCTTTCGTGGAATTTACAAAACAATTTTAAATATCAGCCTGAAAGAAAGCATTTTTGTCGTTTTGAACAGGCAAGAATTTGTCAGCAGCGGTTCCTGTCAACTGTACACCGCCTAGTATTGACAATTTCCCACCCAATATCATGAGTTGGGACGTGCTCAGACATGGAGGTTTTCTGATTAACTTGGCAGCCGTCTTCTACATATTTGGGATCCTTGCGATGGTCTGCGACAACTACTTCATGCCATCACTAGAGATTTTGTGTGCAGGTATGATTGTATCCGTCACTACAATTCGTCGGTTCGGCCCACAGACCATAAACGTCAAATACCGACCAGATAAATCCCTGCAGTAAAAACCCAGTTTAGAAGTTATAAATAAGTTTGATTTGAAAAAAATTCTCAAATTTATTCTTTGATTTAAGAGAACTGTTTTCAGAAAGTTTTAGAATAAGCAAATACAGATTTATAAGTACAGGCAGGGATTAGAAGATAATAGTGGTTAATCGTCTTGTAACTTCACAATGAAACTCACACATGATCCTGGGTGTTTACTTAGATTTCTTGAAGTTGCGTGACGGATATGGACGGCATTGAAATTGTGGCCATGCTCCAATTTATTGCAAGAACTACTCTGTAAAAAAAAGGAAAAACATGGCTGTACGGTGTTTAGTAAATGTTTCATTCTTTCAGTTATCTTGCTTTAATTCGTTATCATCCGCAAACTCTGATTTGCATAACTTATACCAATATCGCTCCATAGATTGTTGTACTCTATTCAAAAACTTCCACCACCGATGTTATGTTAAGCCGGTGCCATCAACATTACGGTATCCGGACGGGCTTTGCGTATAGGTTTTTAATGTCCACACCACAGGCAATGAAAACAGAAGCTGTAATCAACCATGGAAATTAGACGGATTAAGGAATTTGAGTAAAGAGATTTAACATCCAGATGTCATACAAAGAAGACAATTTATAATTCACTGATGCAGGGCAAACTTATTTATTCAGCCATGTCAGTTTTATACATACAAAAAAGATCGATTAATGAAAGTACATGGCTATTTAGACGGGGTAGTGAGAAAACAGGAAACAGTATTGTGTGGCGGTTTGCCAAATAACAGTCGAATGAAAGATATATCAAATATTTTATGTAAGTTCTTTAAAGTTTTATGAAAACTAAGAGTAGCAGGCTCACTTGAAAATAAGGGCAACATAATTTTTCGGACATGTTATTTGGCAAATAGGCATACGATACTGTTTTCTCACTACCCCGTCCAAATAGCCATGTACTTTTAAAAGAACTAATGAATTGTAAACACATTCAACATAATTACAGTAAGCGCTTATTGATAAACGCACGCACGGCTTACTCCTATCGTCACAGCAACAGTTCATAGCTAAAAACGGCTTGCAATAGGCAAAGCGGGTTTATTTTACAGGAAACTACTTGAAATCTAAAACGTGTTCATGTTGATATAGCAAGTTGTGGCATTAGCATAATTCCTTTTAGTTTCTTACCTTTCAACTACATACACCGCATGACTTAGCCTTTATACTGTCGCTCACATATAAATGTAAAGTTTTATTTGTGTTTGAACGTGTACTGTGAGATGCAACAGAGCTCTTATTGAAAACTAACAAATTAGAACCCAACATTTTTCCTTTTTCTTCCTTACAGATCTAAAATTATCTGAAGACGTAGCAGGTGCATCTTTCATGGCAATTGGGGGATCTGCGCCAGAACTTTTTACTTCAGTTTTCGGTACAGCAAACCAACTTTTTTTTCCTTTATATGCAATTAGCTTTCTGGTTAATAACACACCCTTACTGGATTCTAACCAACATCATCCTTTGTCGATCTTTAGTTAATTGCAAGGTCTAAAATGTCGACTGGATCGTATTACATGGCGCATTACTTAGCAAAGATTAAGCTCTTTTCTCCAGTCAAGTTATGTTTCATCGGTATATGGGGATAAAACCCAATTTAACTCCAATAAATTATAAATGAGAAGTGTGCAGAACGACAGCTTCAACCGTGAGTTTTTCAAACTATTGTGACCATACGTGCTTCACTGCCTCGTGTTTACTGTTTGGACCAAGTTATTAACTATTTACGAATATTCTTCGAATATTCCCCATGGTTTGGGTGAATATATTATCACGTCTGAAAGTCCAAATGCCAAAGGGCACACGAGTAACTTTTTTCCAGATCAGCTACACCATAATCATATGTTCTCATTAATGACAACAGGGATCTCAGCCCGACGCAATGGATATTTTAATTCAGTCGTTATTGTATTTTATTTCATTGTGTCAAAGGAGTTTTCATTGCGAAAGGAAATATCGGAGTTGGGACTGTGATTGGCTCTGCAGTATTTAACATTCTTTGTGTAATTGGGTTGTGTGGACTTCTTGCTGGACAGGTATGTAAACTTTTCGTTTCGTATTGGCTTTGGAACTAGATAAACAAAGAAATTTTAATCGCATCATGTTGACAAAATCTCAAAACGTTAGCCCCACAAGACTGTCACGTAACTTTCGAGAGAGTCCAAACATTTAGGAATTCCTTTAAAGCAGATTCAGGTCTTTAAATGAACAAAAGAATCAAGGCATCTTAAATATATTAAGGCATCGTAAATATATATGCACATGTAATTATCGAGTGTAACTGTCCCTGCAATGCTGTCGTTCAGCCCCCAGCATGGAACAGTTCAATTATCAAAGAATGTCTCCTACCTTGATTTTTACAGGTTGTATATCTTTCCAACTGGTCCCTTGCAAGAGATTTCCTGTGGTATGTCTTGACAGTCATCGGTCTCGTCTTAGTGATCTGGGATAACGTTGTTCATTGGTAAAAACATTTATAGGTTTGTTTACCTCTGCCAAAAAAAATCAAAAATACGCAACAAAAATACACATTATTAAAATTACAAAGCCAGGGATAACCGAAAAGTTGCTCAAAACACGGCTTATTTTCGTCTAGGTCCTTCAGAATACAAAAGTAAACACATACAATACATAAAGATATTAGAATTACACTAGAAAGTAGGGCATATACGGTAGGTGATTACAATCAGACCGTTTAAGATTAGACTAAAAATAAAGACGGCGATTCATTGCTCTCTTCAATTGACAAGTGATGTTATAAGGTAGTAAGTTTCATTCATGAATTCCGGTATAAAAAATGCATTGCACTTTTGCCCTTTTATTGTTGGAACTACATGTACAAAATTGGTGGAAGGAGGTTCCTAGGTAGAATGACAATGCATGACTGAGAGGTAGTCGAGTGTCATTGCAAGAAAATGTTGACATACATGGCTTATCTTCGGCTGTAAAACACATAGGTTCAGCGTGCCCAATTTGTCCAATTCTGTTAGGCCAATATGTGATCAAGAATCTATGCTAAATAAATTTGTTTTCAGTAATTGGCAGACTTTTTTTAATTTCATGGGCAATGCAGTGTACCAGGATGAAGATTAAGAGCAGAGTGCTTTGCAAGATCTCTCATTTACGACTGGATCGTATTACATGGCGCATTATTACATTAGCAAAGGTTGAGCTCTTTTCTCCAGTCAAGTTATGTTAGTCTTATCGGTATATGGGGATAAAACCCAATACTCCAATAAATTAAAAATGAGCATTGTGCAGAACGACAGCTTCAACCGTGAGATTTTCAAACTATTGTGACCATGGGTGCTTCGCTGAACTCGTTATCTCACTCTCGTTGTATGATAGGAAAGTGTTTTTCAAGATCTCTCATTTCAACATTTAGCACGTTCGTAACGAAAGTGTAATCTAGCACTGGCCATTTAAGTAATTTAACAGAATTCAAATTTTGTTCACCAATTCGGCTCTGATCAAGCTTAAAACCCAGATATTTCACCAAGATTCAAAGAGTAACAGTCTTCACTTAACAAAACACTTTAATTTATTAACACTGTTTACTTAAATTTAAAAAAGGACAGACTCAAGGTGTAGAGACAGTTTGGTACCGATCTGCCACTTCCTGAATGATTCTCGCTCACAGTGGTCAAACTTTTGGCTATCACTTCTGGGTCTCGAAATAAATAGCGCTCTATTTTTAGGGCACTAAGTGAATTTATTGTCAAAAAGATACTGCAAGCGCAAAGCGTCACGGTACACCACCAAGTTGATATGACCTTGATCGACTAATTTTGTTCCAGAAAGAAATGCAGCTTGCTCACTCCTCGTGTTTCTCTCTGTCTCTGAAAAAAATTACTCCAAGGAGCGAGTTAAGATAGTTTAATGATACAAAGTTTTTTTTGTTTTTAGGTGGGAATCTCTGGTTCTCATTTTAGTCTACATGGCGTATCTTGTCTTCCTCTATTTCGACCCACCGATCAAAAGTCGCATGGAGAGTTTATCATTGTGTCAAACACATCACAACCATGAACGTGACGACGATTGTACTTCTCTGCCAACGTCCGAGGCGGAAACCACACCCATCGTTGTAGACCAGAAATGGAAAACGTCCTCGTTCAGCGCAGTTACCGAGAATGAATCCGAAAAATCATGCAACAATCCAGCAGGTACACTCTGCTTTCCAAACCCAACACTCCCGATTCTTCTGCATTTTTTTTTCTTAATTTAGTAAACTCTGAAAAAAAGTACGCCAGCACAATCCAAGACATACTCGTAGTAAATGGCCTATACACAAATACCTCATATTTTTGTCATAAAATGTTATGAAGCCAAAAATGGTCTTTTATCTCTGGTCGTGATTTTTGTCCTCGGCGAGAGTTGCAACAGCGCCATCTTTGGCCGTATTGTCTTGACATTTCTGCGGGCCGCTCCATCTTTTACTCAGAGCGATAGATAAAAGTATAGGACACAGGGGAACCCCCCCCCGCTTTGTTAGTCATTGTTTCACTGGAATCTGAGCAATTCTTTTCAGACATCTGGGGGATGTGTTAGGTAACAGTAGTCGAGGGTGTATAGCGACAGGACACGTTGGGGGGTACGCCTCGGTCTCATTTCTTGCTGGATAATAGAGTTCGATGTTGAACAGTGACAGCAGATTATGGATATGAAGTTGTTTGTTTTCAGCTGCGTAGGCTGCGTCCAAATCTGTTGCTCTAGACCTCGGACCCTGTATGTAGGCAAATGGGGGCCTGGCAAAAAGTAAATGTGGAGATCAGTAAGGTTGGTAAACATCTTGGATGAGAGGCAAATGGGGAGCAATGAAGACAGAAAAAGGGTACAAAGGCAAATGACGGAGGATACCAAGGTACAAAGACACAAAAAACCAAAATAGTAATCCACTCTGTCTGAACAATCCAACCCTGAAGGAGGAAGGAAAAAAACCGCGTCGCCGAAACAATTTCGGAACGGCAATCTGACCAGAGACAAACTATTTGGGGGAGGGTTTAAATTTCTCTTTTGTTTTTTATGTTGTTTCTTCAGAACAAGACAGGAAACAATCACCTGAGACCAACACACTCTCCCCTTTTATCATTCCCGATGGATACTGCAAGCGACTTGTGTGGCTTCTTGCTTTCCCACCGTCACTTCTTTTCTACTTGACAATCCCAAACTGTTCCCTTCAACAATGGAGGACATGGTATCCTGTAACATTTGTCGCAGCATTAGCATGGATCGGTGCTGCGACCTACTTGCTTGTATGGATGGTCACAGTAATAGGTAGGGGCTTAGATTTTTTTTTTGAGCATTGTTGATATTTGTCAAAGGGTTCAAAGTTGTTAGCCAAGATGGTTAGCAGTTAAGTTTGGGAATATAAATCAGCACAACCTCGAAAGAAATACAACTGACAAAGTCCAGCTTGAGACTGTTGCTCAGCTTTGACCACTTGAATTTCAGTCATGAAACCAATTACCGAGATCTGGAGTCTGTAATGACGCAATTGTGTCTTGTATAGGATACACTTTACATGTACCCGATACGGTCATGGGACTGACATTGGTAGCCGCAGGTTCCAGCATGCCTGACACCATCCTTAGTGTTATCGCAGCAAGGAACGGTAAGGAATATTTCAAATAACACATTGTAAATGCAAACTTTATAACCTGACCAAATGATAGTCGCACAGAACTGAGCCATATTTACAAGAAAGCTTTTAGAAAATGGGAGACTTCAACCGTGATATTTTTGGGGTAGGGAAAGAATGGCTGATTAAAAACATCAATGATCCATTTACCCTAGAGAAAAGGACGCTCGTGTATAACGGTTCACAAGTAGAAAATTCTATCACAGATATGCTTGTCCTAAGCCCTGATTCAGTAACAGATCAAACCTTGGGTAGTTTCGAAGTTATCTGAACTTGTGGACATGTTTATATTTACTACAGGTTTTGGCGACATGGCTATTTGTCATTCTGTTGGAAGTAATGTCTTCGATATTCTACTGGGATTAGGACTTCCGTGGTTTTTACACTCTGCTGCAGTTCGACACGGCCATCCCATTCCAACATACAGCGATGGTTTGACCATTATTTGCGCTATGCTACTGGCAAGTGTGATTGTCACATTAATTATTATTAGACTAGCCAGCTTTAAACTAAATAAAAAAATCGGAATGGTACTTATAGTGTTCTATGTTGCTTTTCTGGTACCGGCCGTATTACTTGAGATGAATATTCTCATTAAAGGGCTTGTACTGCCGGAGTGCCCAAGACAAGGAGAGTAACCGCAGATTTCCTTGGCACAATTGCATCATGACGTCGTAAAATCGTTCGCTAATAAAAAAAAGTAGTGCTAACATCTTTACCGCCAACAAAGCCAAGGCCTTCACAGGATCAGCAGTATAACCTATCATCAGTGATGCTTCGATCATTCTGTATGCACTGAATTCAAATACTGTATAATTACGTACGACTCACTTACAACGTATGTCAACTATTCATGTCCATTGGTTTATTGCTGCTTTGAAGTCAAAGTCTTGGACTTTAATTCCCCAATTAAAAACACTGTAATTCTCTAAGCCTTTTACAAGTGTGCTGAAGTTCGACAGTGGAATAATTACTTCTCACAATCTAAGAAAGATTACCCATTCGATCGACAGCCCGTCATGTCATTTGCAGTTATCCAAAATGTACGTGTGAAATTTTTTGGAAAAGCATACTTGACTTAAACAGGGGCAATCCCCCCCAAATAAGAAACGTGGGGAAGGAAAAAGAGGGAGGAACCAGCTCCATCAATGTACCCAAAATCCGTAATTTCAGTTTTAGTTCACGCCCTCCCCTTTGGAAAATACTGGATCCGTCCCTGTTAAAGATGGTAACACTAAATTCCCTGTGAAACGATTCTTTGTGACAAGCGGTCACTTTTTAATAATGACAGAAGGCCATTTCCAATAATGCGTCTAGAGACCCAATTTTGGGGGGAGAAATCGTCATAAGAAGCGCGCTCGCGGTTACCATGATTTGTCGCCATATAGCTCTATGCATTCGGCTGAACGTGAGAACGTGCCTCTGAATTCAGGCCCAATTCGAAATAGACCATTCTCATTTTTACTACAACTTGTGTGGGCGTCAAAAGTTTGCAGAAATCTCTTTTGATACATGTAGTAACTAGTAGTATGTGCATTATTTTCTGATTTTGTGATAGCTGCATGGGAATTTAACACTTTTTGAATTTTTTTTGTACTAAAAGCCAGCCATATATTTTAGCAGCCACTTGTAGGAAAAACAAGATTGTCACGTCAAAAAAAACAGACCATGTATGACTCAGCAGTTTTTGATATGAAATAGAATCCAACAGTATTCAGGGGCATGAGTGACCAGCTAACAAAAAGCTAAAATGTTACAAGTTCCCATATTTTTGTGCAGACCAGGTGTAAAAAAGCTGAAATTCAGGGTCAACATCAAAAGAAAAGAAGCTGAAAACAGACGCTGAATTGTCACACCCCTGAATATTGTTTTACTCGGAATGATGTACACTATTAATTGAGCTGAACTGTCATCAGCATTGTTCTTATGCTTCTTATCTAGATTCTGAACAATTTGAACGCCTAAAACAAAGCATGAATGACAAATGAACTTTGGAAACATTTTCCCATTAGAAAATCTATGTGTTCAATCAGTACTCATCGAATAATACAGGTACATAGAAAAAGGAGACACCTTAACTATCCTGGCATTAAAATGTACCTTTAAAATATTTTAGTGTCTTTATTGATTAAGAATACGAACTAGCACAGAAAACTTGTACTAGCTTTGGTTAAAGGGCTTGATAAATATTATTTTTGTTATCTAATGTTTAAGAAGTTCATTATGTAACAATTAACATTGCAAAGTCCATTTAAATTGAAGAGAAATTGCTGGTTCTGTTTATTTTCCTTCTGATTGTGGAGACTGTGTGATATGAATCAAAAAGGTAGCAAACATTCAGACACTGATTTGTGGTGTTATTGTAAATGACATGATTTTTAAAATCCCTTTCGTCGTGCGTTTATACATGCAATCCAAATTTCTTTGAGAAAATGATTTTTTTTTAAATTGCTGGCACACAGACTCTGAGAAGCCTGGTGGCAGCAGCCATACCTGTCCTTTTTGTCAGATCAGAGCATATACGCATTGTTCTGAGCATGCATTCACAGTTCTTATACATGTAGCACAAACATGACTAAAAAGGACCAGAGTGTCTGCTGCCACCAGCGCCTCAAAGCTTGAGTAAAAAACAAGACTTTAAAGAGGTGAGGAAATCTGATTTACATGTTTGTGTGTCCTGTATTACACAGTTGCAAATCCAACTGGCACTTCCCCACAGACAAAATCAAAACAATGGAGACAAATGCCCTGCCAAGCCTTATGGGATTACTGAAAC